GTCCCAAATGAGTGTCTCAATCACTGGTGCCAACTGCCCGACCACGTGCTCACTCGACTCGGCCACCGATATGACCATTACCACCCATCTCAACAACCATGGTCAAGCTTAATTACAAATAACCATGTAAACTAATTGTTTAAATCAATACAAAAAATAATGTAATTAAAAGTCTTTAAAAAATACTAAATTCTCTTTAATTATAATGAAATAAATATATTTAAGCATTAAATGAATTGTTTAGATAAATGTGTATAAAATTATAATTAATATATTTTTAAATTGACAGCAAATCAACTTTAAAATCATAGCAAAACAAAAGTAATATAAAAATAAACACAAATATTTCACAACAAATATACAAAACTATGAAACTGTTATAATCTGTTGATATTTCAGATGTTTATTACAGACAAACGATGGTATGGTTTGAATGCAAAGAGTCGGATGACTGATCCGCCACTGCCTGTAATCCATGGCAACGATTCGCCACAAATTGTAAATCATAAACAAACAAATGATGGATAAAATGACATCAATTTCAACAATCCATTGGTATATAAGCGAGAAATAATGGTATACGAGAACCGATGCCAACAAAACGACCAATAAATAGATGACAATCGCCAAAAGGACAGCTGTTTTGTGACGATTTATACCATTATAGATGTCGAGGACATAGTCTTTGAACGGAGGGGACAGTCGTGTCAATCGTATGAACCGGTATTGCGATCGACAGACACCGCAGACATCACTTCTGGACACAGATATCCATTCAATGAGACAATAGTAGTGAACGGCAGCCGCAGAGCCGGCGCACAGACACGGCTCCACCATCTGAGAGATCTGGTCATCGCTCAGACATATGCGACATGTCTTCAGGTGTTTGGCCGCCAGTGATGTCGAAGACGGCGAACACATTGACCAGACTTTGAGGCACTTCTTGTTTGTCGGGAACTTAAGTAATGTTTTTAAGTTTTTAATCAATTAATAAATTTGTTTAAAATTTTATTTTTAATTACCTTTTAATTGAAACCAATGGTTGACACAAATTAATGATCATTTGATTAAAACAATTCTCATTTCAATAGCAATACAAATGTTTACAAAACTTGGACTAAAGTTACAGTTGTTTTCTCTCCATTGAAAACAATACAAGTTGTGAACAATTTTGATGTGAAATTAAACTGTTTTTTACAACTTATCATCTCTTCATATACACCTCCGATGACTGATCCAAAGAACGATAATTTACTAATTAAGACATTTTCAAACTTAATGTTTGATTTGAACTTAAAATAAACAAATTTTGTGAAATGAATTCAATAAAACATCAATTGATGTAATTTTTGATAAAACTTTCTCGAGATTTAAATTGAAATTTCATCGATAATTATAATGACAACAATTATAATGATATGAATTGAAACATAATTCAAACATTTAAACAATAAATTTGTTTTTCAATTGAATTTGAATTGATTTCAATTTGCTGTTTATCTAAACCACAAATTATCACATTTTTAAGTCTGTTTTATATCTCTTGTGTTAACAAAAGAAAAATGTATAAATCTGTAGACATTATCAAAATAATATCGCTTTTGTTATTAACATTGTGTATGTATTCACATGTAAATTATTATTATGTAAAATAATTATAATATTTTTGATAAAATTACTTTTAGTGGAAACCTATGGACGGCCGCCACTGCCGCCCACAACCACAACACTCCCGCCATTTACTCTCTCTGCCGCTGATATGTCTAAATACGGGATTAACGACAGGAACTGTGGCCTCAAAGGCTTCACACGCGAAACCATTGAGATATTGTATAACAACACTAAATGTTTTCACAACAGCTATAGTCCACAAACAGTGATGGATATGTCTGGTCCGCCCCTATGGCGTGAACAGGATCTGACGACCAGTCGTATAATGGGTCGGGTGCGCAAAGCGAAGTTGGGCGAAGCACCATGGGTGGTTAGCATTATCAGCTATGGTTATAAGTACGAACGAGGTACCGTATCTGGGGGTGTAGCACCTTGGAAAAAGTTCAGCATTGAGTGCAGCGGTGTATTGGTTACCAAACGATGGGTTTTAACGGCCGCCGAATGTCTCATACCGTGAGTAGCGTTGAAAATACATTAAATTATATTCTGATTAAGTGATTACAATATAAAATCAATGTGATATTATAATTGTTTAATAATAATTAATATATCATTATATATTCTTAATGTATAGTCAAGGGAGTTGGAGTTGGAATTTTGATTGGTTTCAAAGGCATTTTATTAGGTTTGGTAATAATAAAGAGAATGGAGTGGGAATAGTGGGAAAAGTGCAGTGTAAGGTTAACTATACTTACTATGGCGTCGGCCGCACAGACGGCGTGGCTCTGTGTCGGCTCCATCAGGACTTCAACATCCAGGTAGAGGGTGGACACATGTTGGTCAACACCGTATGCCTGCCTGAGTCGGGTCGAGTGCTCACTCACACCGAGTTGGCCACAATGTACGGCTTTGGAGAGACTGACTCGTATAAGGCTACTGATAATTGGTTACGTAAGGGTGTGATTAAACTACAGCCGTCCAGCGCTTGTCCCGATTCCTATCCCGAAAACCTGTGCTCCGATTACAAGAGAGACAACATATCCGCGCCCTGTTATGTGAGTGGCATTGGTTTTGCTGTTCATGTGATTTATTTTTAAAATTTAATTTTCTGTAATTTTGAGGGCGATTTGGGCGCCGGTGTTGTCCAGTATACTGACAAATACGAGACCCGGGCTATACTGGTTGCCACACACGTCAATCGGTCAAAATTCGCTGACAGAACTTGCCATGATCAATACAGTTATTACATNCTGGTTGCCACACACGTCAATCGGTCAAAATTCGCTGACAGAACTTGCCATGATCAATACAGTTATTACATCTCCACCGCATATATTATGGATTGGATATTACAGACAATTTCAACCAAAACACCTTAATTATCTTATTATTATTTTACTATTTCTTTGTGACATTTATTTTGTTGAACTAAACTGTTTTATAGAAATTTTTATTTATTTTATAATTAAATGTAATAAAAATAATTGTTTTTAATATGGGTTTCATTTTGGGGTAACCAATGCTTAACTATAACTAATCCAAAGGAGATTAAAGATAAACAAAGATTATTAGTAATAATTTAATAATTTATTACATAGGATTTATAGCCAAAGTGTTTGACATGTTTTGCATATCTAGTAATACTTGTAAAAATAAGAATACTGTTTAATAAGAATCATTAAAATTTTGAATACAAATCATTTATTAGATCCGACGGATAGTATTACTGGATTTGCGATTGACCTAGATCGTCGGGTAGACGTTGTGCAAAAATTATGGCCATCTATTTCATATATAAAAATTTAATTTGCAATCAAAAGTATACAATCAATATTATTTAGAAATGCAAATCAATTTTAAAAATCAAAAAATATTTTTAATTATGTTAAAGTTAAAAACATTTTGAGTGAAATTAGAAATGTGTCAAAAAATACTTTCTAATAGTTTTCTAAAATAAGGATTAAGTGTTTAGTGTTTGTTTAATTTGGCAGTGGTTTGAGTGTTGTTTGCATTGAATCGATAGGCAATGAAAGCGACAATAATTGTCGACACAATCAGAATCAACACAAGTATTGCCAAAATATATGACAATATGTTTGATGTCTGAAACCCAGAGGACAAGTGTTTAGTCGATGACTTTGTTTGTGGGCACCAGTCCTGTGGATATTCATCTAAACGCTAATTCAACGATTTAAATAATACTTATTATAATTTACACACAAATTTATAGTAAATTTATCATAAATTAATAGTAAAACTGATGACAAACTCTAATTTTAATTAAGTCGAAGAGTTTTTTGTTACGAAAATCGTACAAATCGTAGGCATATAACTGGTTATTATCAACCTTTCCGTCGTTGGCCACCAAATGAATTGAAATAACGGTTTCAATGTGTATGTGATTGACTACATCTCTGCGGGTTATGTAATAAACACCAATGATCTTGGTAAATTTAATGTCGTAGTACAAGTAGGGAACGGGCACACCAAACTCCATATTGTAGGACATATTAACGAACGGGTAATATATCTGTAAATGCATTTTATACGACTCGTTAGTGTGGGCGACAGTAATGTAGTGACGATTATTAGTGTCCATAACGTATAACTCGGGAAACCGATGCGAGTTCTCCCGGAATGCGAATAATATTGATTGAAAGGGTTTGTTGACCCCCTGTATGTGCGGCCCATATGTCTGGTCGAGTATATACCGGGCGGGAATCTTATTGGGGTCGGGGATCGGATATAGAGTTTGAATGCCATTCCAGGCGCTGTTATAATCGTATCCAAACAGTCCGTATACGGCGTGTCCTATCGATCGATACGTATGACTGCTTATGCCGTGAATTATCACTTCATAAAATCCTAATATATCGTTGAGTTCTACTGAATACCCGGTCACTCGATGTCGAGTGTCTTTGTATTAATGATTTACATTTTAATGTTTATTGTAAAATAATCGACAAAACATTTATTTATTTAATATAATTACCAAAATAAGTGCCCAATAGTTGAGTGACATGTCTGTCAAATATCCACTTATTTACGTCGAGGTTGTAGTAATAGAAATAACGGCCCGTTTGATGGTATATATGGGGACCGATATTGAAGACACTTTGATGTGAATTATATTCGCGGTTCACTTCACACACGCCTTCAGTATAACTACTGATCACTGAATATGTCATGTATTTTGCCGGACATGTGATATACAGATCAAACCAATTGCTGAAATTTTCTTTTTGAAACTATTATACAATAAATATTTAAAATTATAAATTTTTTACGTAATGCTAATGTAATACCAGTTCCCTCGCATTCAATGTATGGCTGAATGAAAACAATCCGGTTGTATTGCCTGAAGTTACAGAAGCGTATAAAGTGTCAGGATTAATTGTGGAGATGTTATTGTGAACAAATAGCCCGTGTATAAAGTAACCAGGTTGCTTTTTTGATTTAATTACACTCCATTTGATGATTGGATCAAGAGCAACGTTTGGGCCATAATTTATATGATAATCCCAAACAAATTTATGAATGCATTCATAGTCTATATAGGCATCGGTTGCTGTGATGGCGACGACTACTGTATTTGTCATTTCATGCTCTGATTGATAGCCAGTAATGGCCCGAAAGTCGTGTTTCTGACCCAAACTTTGGTGTTTTTGTTCAATAAATTCCGAAAATTGTTTACAAAAATATTGATATCTCTGTTCGGACTGTTTGTATGACTCGAGACCAAAGGGTGTGTATACAAAAGGTATAGGTTTTGGACGTTTCTTGAAAATCGTGGTCTCATATGTGTATCCAAACAGACAAACGCTGTAATGATATTTGGATTTCTGGTAACCAAATACACACTCATAAGCGGAAAGACTTTTACGAGTTTTACAATAGGCGTCATTGAAATATATGGACGACTTGTATGTGAATGCGTATACGTTTTGCGAGATGTCTACCATTAATAATTATATTTCATTAATTGGTAACAAATATGTTGTGAATACAAACCAACGCCTTTATATAAACCAATGTCTTTGCTGGACAGAAGTGCGGGTATGTCTGACCGGTAGTCAATGTTGTCAACTCTACCGCCACCGGCAAAACGGGTCGATTGAAACGATTGGTTAGTGAATCCCAAACTATTGTATCGCCAAAAGCTGGCGTTTCGTTGAAGGTATATATCGTATCCCAAACTGAAAACACTATTAAACTTAAACTCTTGGCCGCAAATGTCAAACGGAGCGAACGGTTTAGGCTTTTCGTTACATCGCGTGAGTCTCTCAAAAGTTACATCCTTTGTATTGAAAATACAAGAAAAATGTTAGCAATATTTACAACTATTTATTCATTGTATTGTATTATAAATAGAAATATAATTACCGTATTATATACACTCAACTCAAATCCATTGGTAGTATTTTTCTCCACTATTTTTGTAAGACTTGAATTAATTTTACAATCGGTGGGACAGATATAGGAGTACTGATGGCCGGGAATTGCCATCAGTATTGGCCGCTCACCCAAATCACGCAGAGATAGGGCTTTGATCAGATTGTCGTCAAACAGTATATTATACGAAAATAGTTTATTAACACCGACTGCCGTTACGATCGAAACGATTGCCATACTATTGTGTATTACAATTCCCGTGTCTTCAGTCCGATAACTAGTGGTTTGTATTGACTTAATATTTTGTTTTGCATTAATGAACGGAAATATTTCATTCAATGTTTTGTCGCAATAGTCTCGGAGTAATCGGAGATCATTTGATTTGCTATATTTTGCTAAACACTTGACGTCTTCGCCGCATATATTGAGCCAAAACTTATTTTCCTGATAATAGTATTGCAAAACTACGATCTCAACTGAAAACAACAAGATGTTTATTAATTTACTTAGATTTACTGTATATACTGTTATACAGTATATTGTTAATGTTTTATGTCATACTTGGGTAATATTTATCGAGAGAGTGAATGCAAACCAAGTCTATGTTATCGTCGTTGTCCGTCTGTCTGGCCATTGGGCACATGTATTGGTATTGATTTTCATTAACTTTCACATTATTTACTTCTATGTCACAAAAATCAACTAAATCTGTGTAATTTAACGGATATGCCGTAAACGGATACCTATGTACTAGATGCAAAAATACATAGGTATTAGTAAATGTATTACATTAATTTCTTTCATGGTAAATTTAATAATACTTAATTTATACAATATAACTTAACAAAAACTTACACCAATTAAAGTGAGAGAGAAGATTCAATAAATCTGAGGTATTTTGTGAATTCTTATGATAGAAGTACTGGTTTTGCAAATTAAATGCACCCATAATTTCAATTGCGTTACAAAAAACATCTAATGATTGACTGCAACTAATCGCTAAGAGATTAACGATTATCAGGATTTGTAGCCAAAGTGTAGCCATGGTTTACATAGAAAGCGATGGATTAAGAGATTTATTTACAAATTGTATGTTTGAATTTGCGTTGAATTTATAGTTTATATAATAGCGTTGTAATAATTGATTGCATTTGCAGTTTATGTCGACAAACAAATTGTTAAAATCATTTGAATTCAATTATATCAACGCTTATAATAAAGTAATATCTTTACTGTTTTTATTGTTTACCACGAGTTATAATAATTTTGTTGAGATTTGAAGTAAATTTTAGTTTTAAATTCAATTATATTTTTACAAATTCTGTTTATTTATTGAGATCTTTATATAATTGTTTGTATTTTGTATTTAAGTGTTTGATAAAAAATGTTTAATTTATTTATAAATATCAAATTAATATTTGTCTTGTTATTAACATTGTGTAAGTTTATAACATATGTATTATTTGTTTTTAATAATACAAAATAATAATAAAATGTAAATTAATGCTTACTTTTAGTGCAAACCAATGGTCTGTTTGTATCGATCGGTAAATATCCTAATTATGAGTCTTTTGGCGTTAACCACGTGTCGTGTGGATACAGATTCGCTTACGAACCCATAGACATCACATATAAAACCGATTGCTTTCACGATAACTATAAGCCATCAAATTTACACGATATCAACGGTCACTACGATTACCCACATCTGTCGTCCACTAGTCGTTTGACGGGCGGTAGGCATCAAAACTATGGCGAAGGACCATGGGCTGTTAGTATCGAGGTGATTCATACTAGAAAGGGTAATCAGGGAAGCGTAAGTTTGAATAAAACTCAAAGCAATATCACTCTCTGTTCGGGTGTACTGGTTACCAAACGATGGGTATTAACAGCAGCCGATTGTGTGAAAGTGTAAATACATATTAATTTATTAATATAACAGAATCACTAAGTTTTGACATTTATTAGTTTATAATATATATATTATATAACCCAATATAACAGCGCGAATCAAAACGAAAGCCTCAGTATATCGGTTACGACCGGCAATCGTCGGTTTAGTGACAAAGTATATCCATCTATTGGCCAACACTTTATGGCAGGCGTGGCATTGGTTCGTCTCCGGAAGAATGTGGACACCCATAACATTGGCCGACAATTGCTGGCCAACACCGTATGCCTGCCCGAACTCAACCAAGTGCAGCAACAGGCAGACTGGGCCACACTCTATGGATTCGGTTTAACCCATGGCCAGAGCACAAGTAACGCTTGGTTACACCATGGTGATGTTTATTTACAGTCGCGCACAGCATGTAATTTAATTTTTAATAGCACACTAATGTGCGCCTCAAACTCCGTGGCCCACAACCAGTCCACACCCTGTATAGTGAGTGACATTTGTTTACTTTAAACTATAATTTGTATATAAATCTAATTGTATGTGATTTGAGAAGGGCGATGAGGGCGCGGGTTTGGTCCAGTTTACCGACAAATATCGCACCACAGCTATACTTGTGGGCACACTTGTGAGACGTGGGCCACACGCCGGTGATGTTTGTCAAAATATTAGTTTTTATGTTTCTACCCCGAGTGTTGTTGACTGGATATTAAAAACAATTAAAATTAATGAAAGACCTGGTGTTGGTTAAGAACGTAATACTTGTATTGTAATATTTAGTGTTTGTAATGCAATATATAATCTAGTTTCAATTGATATTATTTTTTAAAAACTATTCAAATAAAGTATATTTTAAAATATTTATTCATTAAAAATATTTATAATTTACAAATAAATTGCATTTAAAACCACAAAAGATTCATTAATTAGAAGAAACTTTAATAAATTTTGAAAATTTGATACAAATAAAAATATTCTAATAGTTTATATCAACAAAAATAAAAATCAAATTAGAAATCACGTGTTTTGTAAATAGTTTCAATCCTACATTAGTTTATAAAGTTTAGTATAAAGTTTAAAGTTTATAAAGTTTATAAAGTCTTTATATACTGTAGATATTCTAGTGTTTATGTGCTTAAGTTTTTGGTACGTTATTCGCATTTTGAGAGCTCTTATTTACCGATTGTTGTCTACCATTGAATCGATAGGCAATGAAAGCGACAATAATTGTCGACACAATCAGAATCAACACAAGTATTGCCAAAATATATGACAATATAAGTGATGTCTGAAATCCAGAGGACAAGTGTTCAGTCGATGACTTATTTCGTGGGCACCAGACCTCCGGATATTCATCAAAACGCTAATTAAATGACAAAAATATTATTTGTTATAATCTGTACTAAAAAAAAAAGAGTTTTAAATGAATATTTAAAATGTTCACAAACTTTGACTTGTATTAAGTCGAGAATTCTTTTGTTGTTAAAATCATACAAATTATAGACATATAACTTATTACTAGAATATCCATTATTGGCCACTAAATGGATTGCCGTAACGGTCTCGATGTGTATGCGATTGACTACATCTCTGCGGGATATGTAATAGACACCAATCAATTGAGAAAATTTAACATCAGTGTACAGATAATATTTTGGGACATTAAACTCCATGTTGTGCTGCAAATGAATGAACGGGTAATATATCTGTAAATGCATTTTATACGACTCGTTAATGTGGGCGACGGTAATAGAGTACCGATCATATCTGTCCACAACGTATAACTCGGGAAACCGATGCGAGTCCTCCCGGAAGGCGAATAATATTTGTTGAAACGGTTTTTCGGCCCATTTTATGTGCGGCCCATATGTCTGCTCGAGTATATACCGGTCGGGAGTTTTGTTGGGGTCGGGGATCGGGTATAGGGTTTGAATGCCATCCCAGGCGCTGTTATAATCGTATCCAAACAGTCCGTATACGGCGTGTCCTATCGGTCGATACGTATGACTACTTATGCCGTGAATTATCACTTCATAAAAGCCTAATTTTTCTTTAAGTTCCACTGAATACCCGGTCACTCGATGTCGGGTTTCTTTGTATTAATTTATATTTTTATATTCATTATAAAAACAATTGTTTAAAAAATATATTTAGTCTACGAATACCGTAATAAATGCCCAATAGTTGAGTGATATGTCTGTCAAATGTCCATTTTTTTACGTCGCGGTCGTAGTAATAGAAATGACGGCCCGTTTGATGGTATATATGGGGACCGATATTGAAGACACTCTGACGGATGTCATACTCTCTCTTCACTTCACACACGCCTTCAGTATAACTACTGATTACTTGATATGTCGTGTATTTTGCGGGACATGTGATGCATAGATCAAACCAATTGATATAATTATCATGGTGAAACTATTACAATAGTTATAATAATTAAATTTATAAATTGTTGATTTAAAGCATATGTAATACCAGTTCTCCCGTATGGCTAAATGAAAACACTCCGGAAGTGGTGCCTGAAGTTACTGAAGCATAAATATTGTCGATGTAATTGGCATTATAAATAAATAGCCCACGTATAAAGTACCCAGCTTGTTTTGGTGGTTTAATTACACTCCATTTGATAATTGAATGAAGGGCAACGTTTTTACCATAATTTACTTCAAAATCCCAAACAAATGTGTGAATACATTGATAGTCTATATTTCCATCGGTTGCTGTGATGGCCACGACTACTGTATTTCTCAGTTCATTCTCTGATTGATAGCCAGTAATGGCCTGGAAGTCGTGTTTTTGACCCAAAGTTTCGTGTTTTTGTTCAATAAATATCGCAAATTGTTTGCAGAAATATTGATATCTTTGTTCGGACTCTTTGTATGACTCGAGACCATAGGGTGTGTATACAAAAGGCATCGGTTTTAGGCCTTTCTTGGAAAATGTAATCTCATTTGTGATTTCATTTGTGGTTTCATTTGCTGTCTCATATGTGTATCCAAACAAACAAACGCTGTAATGATATTTGGATTTTTCATAACCAAAGGCACATTCTTTAACGGAAAGACTTTTACGAGTTTTACAATAGGCGTCATTGAAATATGTGGACGACTTGTATGTGAATGCGTATACGTTTTGCCAGATGTCTATAATATTAGTGATTATATTTTATATATTAATTGGAAATCAATTTTAACAAATATATCGTAAATACAGACCAATGTGTTTGCTGGAGAGAAGTGCGGGTATGTCTGACCGGTAGTCAATGTTGTCAACTCTACCCCCGCCGGCAAAACGCTTCGATTGAAACGACTGGTTAGTGAAACCCAAACTATTGTATCGCCAAAAGTTGGCGTTTCGCTTGAAGTATATATCGTATCCCAAACTGAAAACACTATTAAACTCAAGCTTTTGGCCGCAAATATCAAACGGGGCGAAAGGTTTTGGCTTTTCGTCGCACCGGATAAGTCTCTCAAACGTTACATCCTTTGTATTAAAAATATAAAAAACATGTTATCTCTAATGTTATCTAAAAAGCAATAATAATTATCATATATTTTTTACAATAATATAAATAATTACAGTATTAGTTATTTTGAGTTCAATACTGCCATTGGTAGTTGTGGTGAGCATTGCTTTTGTAAGGTTTGTATTTACTTTGCAATCGTTGGGACAGATATAGGCGTAGGAACGGCCGAGAACTGTCACCAGTATTGGCCGCCCCGTCAACGTTGGCACATATAACTGCGGATCGTGGTTGAAATGTATGTTATATGTGTATAACTTATTAATACCGGCATTTGAGTCGTTATATAATGGGTCCACAGTTATGATAGCCATCGCTAGATATATGAAATTACCCAACCTTTCAGTCCTATAACTAATGGTTTGAATTGATTTCAAATTTTGCATTGCATTTGTGAGCGGAAACAACTGATCCAATGTTTTGTTGCAATAGTCTTGTAGTAATTGAAAATCATGTGATTTGCGGTATATGTCTAAACACGTGACATTTTGGTCGCATATATGCACCCAAAACCGATTTTCCTGATAATAGTATTGCAAAATTACGATCTCTGAAAACGAATAAAATGTAGACAATATATATGATGGTAAATACATGACAAATATAAACATGATATTTGTATTTACCCGGGAAAGATTGATTGAGTGAGTGATAGCAAACCAAGTCTATGTTATCATCGTTGGCCACCTCTCTGGCCATTGGGCACATGTATTGGTATTTGTTTTCATTCACTTTTACCCCATTCACGTCAATATCGCACAAATCGACTAAATCTTTATAGTTCAACGGATACGCCGTAAACGGTAACCCAATTACTGTTTCAAAACATGTAGGTTATTATATAACGATCACAATTATGCTACTTTTGTCATAAAAACATGATTGAAAACTCACGCCAATTAAATTGAGTTAGATATGTGAATAGATTGGATGAATTATATAACTTGTGGTAATAGTGATGATTCAAATATGAAAGCGTGTCGTTATGTCCGTTGGGTTTGTCTTCAATACCGGTTTCATTCACTCTCCAGATCTCGTACTCCAAGTTTTTGTTTAGGATGTGATAGAAGTAATGGTTTTGCAAATTAAATGCGCCCACGATTTCGGTCGCACCACAGAAACCATGGTCTGGATCTGATTGTAAGACATCCAGCGTTTGAATATAACTAATGCTTAAGAGATTAATGATAATCAGGATTTGTAGCCTAAATGATGACATGTTTTCCATAGTAATTGATGGATTGAATGAATAGTTCAACAATTGTATGAATGTTTGGTTTAAATTTAAAGTATTAATAAAACCGCGACAATAATTGTCATTATTTTGCCGTTTATGTTGAGAAATACATTTTTGAACAATTTTATGTTTAGCTAATACTTGGATTGAATGAGTATTGTTAGTAAATATAGTATAAATAATTATATAATTTTGCAATTATTTTGTATAATATTTTGGTTTAAATTTTAGTAAATTCCACTTATAGATACAAAATATAATATTTTTAACAAATAAATTATAAAAACAAATTCAATATCAGTTCACAAAAATGAGAATAACATGAGATATAATATCATTTAATAAATTAAAAATATAAAGAATACTGTATTAAATGTTTATAAATAAATTTTGTGATTTTGGTGTTAAGACTGATTTAGTTGTCCGAGTGTTGAATCAGTTGTTTTGTTTGGTTTTATTCACCGATTGTTGTCTACCATTGAATTGATAGGCAATGAAAGCGACAATAATTGTCGACACAATCAGAATCAACACAAGTATTGCCACAATATATGACAATATGTTTGACTCCGAAATGTTTGACTTATGTTTACTTTCACTTCCGCGACAATAATGTGGTAAATATTGAATTTTTGTCTGAAAAATAAAAAAATGAAATTTACTAAACATTTACAAATTACTACCAAAACAAACCAAACTAACCTTGATCATTGTTAAGTTCATAACTTCATGACTGTCCCAATTAAGCATATCGTAATCATATAGATATGGTTTCCCATCGACGCGATAGTTGGCGACCAAATGCGGCGATTTTTTGCCAGTATTTTCCTCAAAGTCTAAGTAAATGCCGACCACTTTATCAAACTCTAAATACCGGGTGTCGTAAAACTCATAGGTATAAGCCTTCCCGTCGGCCGACACATTCATAAACGGTGCGAACACTCGGAGCCATGGGATCTGATTTCTGAGCACTGCGACCAACGTCTTGGTTGAAACGGTGGGCATATTATAGATGTGGAAAGTCTTATCACGTGTGCGATACCACGCGAACACCAATTGATAGTAAAAGTTGGGGTTAGGACTGTTGAGGTCGGGCCCAAACCAATGGTGCAAATTTGCGGGTATATTAAACAATGGCATCAGCACTCGGATGGGAATTCCGTGACCGTAGCTATTGCTGTATAGAAACAGTCCGTATATATATTGGCCTAACTCTCGGTACGCGTCACTACTCTTGCCGTGAATTATCACATAATAATAGTTAAAATTATTTGATTGAATGTGATTTATGTCGAGTGAAAAGCCGGTCAACCGATTCCTTGTATCTAATATTCAGATATTTATTGATTACTTATTAACTATTATGCGATACAAACAGAAATTCAAACATATTTACCGAAATAAGTGGCCAAAAGTTGAGTGACATGTCTATCGTAGAGAAAGGTGTGGACATCTCTATCGTAGTAATAGAAATGACGGCCCGTTTGATGGTATAGTCGTTTACCGATATTGAAAATACTCTGACGGCTGTCATACTCTCTGTTAACTTTACACACGCCTTCAGTATAGCTACTAATCACTGAATATGTCATGTATTTTGCCGGACATGAGACCATTTGAGACCAATTCAATTCATCGCTTGTTGTAAACTATTGTTAAAACAATTTGTCCGTTAAATAACATATTGAACACAAGAGTTCTTACAAATGGTTTTGCGACATCCCATTCACTTTTGTACAATTTATAAACATGTGATTTATTGTCACTTTGCACATAACTAATCAGAGTATTGTTGTAGTGGTACAGGGAGTTTAATATGGATGAGGGCACTATTGACTGTATGTCTAGGCGTATCATCTGTTTGGTAAACCCTGTGCCGGGTATACCGTGACCATCGGCTGACTGTGCAATCGGCAACCGATCGTACGTCCAGTTAAACAGATAGATATTATAATCGCTTTGTCCGCCGCTATCGATGGCCACAATCAGGTTATTGTGAAGATTGGCTGCACTGCCCTCTGTATAGGCAGTCATCGCCACAAACCTCTGATTAGCAGATCCGGTGGACAACGAGTTTATCTCTCTAGCAATGTCTGTGCAAAACCTCTTGTGCTCCTCATTGTCGCCATTCTTGGAGACCACGAGTCCATCCCATTTGTATACAAAGGCACCGATTGTCATGTTATCGATGTTGAATATGTGTCCACCCGTTGGCACCTTATAATTGTGTCCGTATAAACACACGCTGTGATAAAATTTAGTGTTGACAAAGGCTCTCAAACAACCAGTATTTGTCTTATCGCACGGGAATTGGTCTTTGGATTTGTATGTAAACCCGTATATGTCATCAAAACTGTCTGCAAAATTAAAACAATGTTTTAATCATAAATTACTTTACATTAACGGCAAACATAATGCAAACCAAAGCCATGTTTGTGTAGAAATGTGCCAAAATTTGAATCATAATAAATGTTTTGGACAATACTTTGGCCAAACGTGTCGTAAGGATAGGCCTTTTCGGTGTAACGCATGTATTGTGATCTCCAAAACCTTGTATCTCGTCTCAGAATCAGATCCCAACCCAAACTTAACATCCGATCAAACGTATAGTTATTGGCGCACAACTCGTATGGACTGAACGGCACCCGCTTTTCGACGCAACGAAAAAATATCTCCAAATGAAACGCCGGCTAAACATATATAAAATATGTGTGAGTTTTATAAGTATTGAATAAATTTATTGCTATAAACTATGTATTGAAACACAATTCACATGTATGTCAACTGTTATGTTGTTCTCATCGATTGTGATGTTAGTTAACGTGGAGTTTAGTACACAGTTTTGCGGACAACCAAATAGGGGATAGTCGTCGCCAAAGTCCACCAACAAATGTACACTTTCATCGGTGTCTAAGTCCAGGTGCTTTGTGTCCACTCCTCTATCGTCGGCGTAAGTCATGTAATAGGGATTAGGTATCGATTTACCGGTCATTTCCCGTTTAAAAACGGCAACATTTGTGGCGTTTCTATAACTTTCGTTGTCTATACTGATGGACACGAGTGACCGCTTTTCGTGGCTATACTTCGGCGCGAATGTACTGTCAATAAAATTGAGGCAAAAGTCGCGCAAATGATCGTAAGGTTTGGAGTGAATGGACGTCACAATACACTTGTCATCGGTTTGGTTACAATCGGGTGCCGTAAACGTGTTCTCCAGACTCCGGTATTTGACTACATAAGCGCGGGTCGGGTCTAGTGTTTGGGTATTCAGTGGATCTCTCATTAATGGGTAAATTGTATTTTTATCTAAAATACTTATACATTTAAACATATTATAAATACACAACATATTAGTGTCCGACTCATTACGGGCCCAGCCGTACAGATCGCAGGCTTTTAATTGGGTGACGTTGAATAGATGGCCATAATTTTTGCACACGTCTACCCGACGATCTAGGTCAATCGCAAATCCAGTGATACTATCCGTCGGATCTAATGAATGGTTTAAATACAAAAGTTTTAATGATTTTGAAATAACAGCAAAATCTCTTGGAGTAAATTGTATGAAGACTTACGCAATGAGTAATATTTTGTGAGATATCGTAACAAATGGTTTGAATTGTAAGTGTTTTCGTAATTACGTTTGGGAAGTATTGCGGTGTCGAAGAGGTCTAAGGGCTCGGAGGCCGAGGAGGTGTCTGTCCTTATGGTTGAGTTCCACTTCCAGAGGTTATGCACTTTGTCTCCGCTGTGACTCTCGATGAAGAGCTCGTGTCTTAACCGAAATACACTTGAGATGAATGTATTGTTACAGAAATCTTGTGGTAATGTCTGACAGATAACGGATTTGTTGTGATATAAGATGTTTGCCATTAAAAGAATCACTCGATAAATATTTAAAGACATGTGTGAAATTAAAATTACTTTAAAAATCATTAAAACAGTTATGAAATTATGTTTGAATATATAAATATTGTTTGTATTCTATTGGGTGTATTAATCTCATATATTAAATAATACCTATGGTTAAATTACGAGCAATAATTTAATTATTATTAAACTTTGGCTATAAATCCTGTGTAATAATCTATGATTATAGTTAATCTCCTTTGGATTAGTTATAGTTAAGCATTAGTTACTTTAAAAATGAAATCCATATTTAAAACAATTATTTTTATCATATTTAATTATAAAATAAATAAAAATTTCTATAAAACAATTTAGTTCAACAAAATACATGTCACAAAGAAATAAGATAATAGTAAAATAATAATCAGATAATCAATGTTTGTTAACCAACAACAATTATGCTTTGGTTGAAATTGTCTGTAATATCCAATCCATAATATATGAGGTGGAGATGTAATAACTGTACTGTGGATGGCATGCTTTGTCAGCGAATTGTCCCCGATTGGCGTGTGTGGCAACCAGTATAGCCCGGGTCTCGTATTTGTCAGTATACTGGACAACACCGGCGCCCAAATCGCCCTTAAAATTACAAAAAAATAAATTTAAAAAATAAATGATATGAACAGCAAAACCAATGCCACTCACATAACATGGTGTGGATATGTTGTCTCTCTTGTAATCGGAGCACAGCTTTTCGGGATAGGGATCGGGACAAGCGCTGGACGGCTGCAGTTTAATCACACCCTTACGTAACCAATTATCAGCGCCATTTTGCGGGTCATGTACTCCAAAGCCGTATATTGTGGCCAACTCGGTGCGAGTGAGCACTCGATCCGACACAGGCAGACATATGGTGTTGATCGACATGAGTTGACGCTCTACCTCGATGTTGACGTACGGCTCGAGCCGACACAGTGCCACGCCGTCTGTGCGGCCGCTGCCATATTGATTATGACTTACTTCGTTCACTATTCCCAGTAATTCCTCTTTATTATTACCAGACCTAATAAAAGTCTTTTGAAACATATTCCCCTGACTATACATTAAGAATATATAATGTTATAATAATTATTATTAAACAATTATAATATCTTTTTGATTACTTTGATAATTACTTAATCATAACATAATTTAATGTATTTTTAACGCTACTCACTGTATGAGACATTCGGCGGCCGTTAAAACCCATCGATTGGTAACCAATACACCGCTGCACTCAATTTTGAAGTATTTAAAACGCCATTTTATTTCATAACTAGTGCTGACAATGCTAACCACCCATGGTGCTTCGCCCAACTTCGCTTTGCCCACACGACCACCCATTATACGACTGGTCATCAGATCCTGTTTACGCCATAAGTGCGGGCCATTCATATCCATCACTGTTTGTGGACTATAGCTGTTGTGAAAACATTTAGTGTTGTTATACAATATGTATATGGTTTCGGGTGTGAAGCCTTTGAGGCCACAGTTCTTGTCGTTAATCCCGTATTTAGACATATCAGCGGATGAGAGAGTGAATGGCGGGACTGTTGTGGTTGTGGGCGGCGGTGACGGCAGTGGCGGCCGTCCATAGGTTTCAACTAAAATTATTTTTTAAATATATTTTCCTTAATAATAATTTACTTATGAATATTAGTATAACTCACACAATGTTAATAACAAAAGCAATATTATTTTAATAAATGACATTTTTGTTATGAAAGTATCACAGTTATGAAATTATGTTTGAATATTATATAATACCTATGGTTAAATTACGAGCAATAATTTAACTGTTTTACAAACATAACTTATGAATCATAAGTATTGCTAATTTATTGTCTACAAATTTGCCTATAAATCCTTTATAATGTTCTTTGATTATCGTTAATCTCCTTTGGATTAGTTGTAGTCAACCAGTGTTTACCCCAAAATTAAATCCAAATCTTATACAAAATGGCCAAAAATTATACTTGCATTAGATATTAAAAACAATTACTTTTATTACATTTAATTATAAAACAAATAAAAACAATTTAATTAACAGTATTTAGTTTAACTAAATGTCATAAAGAAACAGTAAAAACGTGTATAATATATTCAATTTGTTAACCACTCGGTGTTTTACTTTGAATTGTCTGTAATATCCAATTCATAATATATGAGGTGGAGATGTAATAACTGTATTGATCATGGCAAACTTTGAGAGAAAATTGTCCCCGATTGGCGTGTGTGGCAACCAGTATAGCGCGGGTCTCGTATTTGTCAATATACTGAACAACACCGGCGCCCAAATCGCCCTAAAATCATACAAAATTAAATGTTAAAAACAAATAAAATGCAATGACGTGTACAGCAAAACCAATGCCGACTCACCCAACAGGGAGTGGACACAAAGTCTCTCTTATAATCGGAGCACAGCTTTTCGGGATAGGGATCGGGACAAGCGCTGGACGGCTGTAGTTTGACGTCACCCTTACGTAACCAATGATTGGTAACATTTTGCCAATCAATCACTCCGAAGCCGAACATTGTGGCCAACTCGGTGTGAATGGGCACTCGACCCGTCTCAGGCATACATACGGTGTTGACCACCAAATGTCGACTCTTATTCTTGATGTCGACGTCCCTCTCGAGTAGACACAGAACGACGCCAACTGTGCCGACGCCGTGTTGATAGTGTTGAGACACACACATAACCTCGTCCTCCGGGTACAGATCGTAGTTACCAATCATTACTTTTGTCGTACGGTATGCTTTGCCTACAATCCTATTAGATAAAGGTAATAATTACTTACATGTGGGTAATAATTATGGTATTTATAGTGACATATTCTCTCTGAAACAGTCGGCCACCGTTAAGACCCATCGTTTGGTAATCAAAACACCGCTGCATCTGTTTTCATAAGCAACCTGTTTGCCGGGTTGGGGCTTATGAGGGTCATCGATGTTAATCACACCAAACTCGTTGCGGCCGGTCACGTGAATGCTAACCGCCCATGGCGCCTCGCCGTAACTCGCTTTGCCCGCGCCATCCATTATACGACTGGCCAACACATCCTGTTTGCGCCATAAGTGCGGCCCAAACACGTCCAGCACTTGTGTTGAGTTATAGGTGTTGTGAAAGCAATTTGTGTTGTTATACAATATGTCTATTACTTCGGGCATGAATTTGAGGCCACAGTTCTTGTCGTTAATACCGTACTGTTTATAATTATTGATAGTTATGGGCGGTTGTGGTGCGAATGTTGTGGGAAATGTAACCGGTGGCGGACGACCACAGGTTTCTACTAAAGTAATTGAATTTGCCAAATATTTTACACAATATTTAGCGTAAAAATATAGGTTTAAAACTTACACAATGTTAATAACAAAAGTGATAATATTTTGATAATTTCTACCGAGTTAAACATTTTTCTCATACAATTAATACTGTAACTATTTTGTAATTTATATTTCGATTTACTTTTCAATACATATCTCTATTCGTTATATTAATAGTAAATTCAAAACTTACTAAACGCACAAATAAAACAATTATAGTTTAAAAAACAATACAATTTAAATCTCGAGTTTTACAATTAAAACATTTGTTGAAATGTGTTTGACATCATTTTTTCAATAATTTGTTATACATGTTATTCTCTCTCTCTCTCTCTCTCTCTCTAAGTATTGAAAATAATAATACAAATATGTATTGCATTATTTTTTGACGTCTAAAGAAATTATTAATGTGTTGTGAAGGGAACGGATGTAAGAAATTTTGGACAATTTATGGCATACTTTTCCGCATTTTATTATTGCTTTCGAGAAATATTTNTCTCTCTCTCTCTCTCTCTCTACTCTTGAAAAGTCAGGCCAACAGAAGTTGGTTTTTGCTTGAATTGAATGATTGTATTGAATTGAAGGATCAGTTGTGACCAGTTGTCAATCGTGTCAGTACATATCAATACAATCCCGACTCAAGTCATTCATGCGATTGTCTTTCGTAAACCCTTTGTTCTTCAGATGCATCACAACACCGAAGAGCCGCTGCGCTATCTTTAGGGAGTTCTTCCTCTGGAGGAGTTTGAGATCAGTATCGCTGGGAAAGGGATTGGGATGTGATTTGAACAACAGTTTATACAAACACACGCCGAGTGCCCAACAGTCGTCTTTCGTCGGATTGTAAACCTCTGCCCGATGTTTGAAAAGCTGCGGTTGTCTCAGCTCTTGAGTGATCATCACTCGGAGGGCTTCGGGCGCCATATAATGAGGTGTTCCGACCGCCCAATTATTCTTCACGAGTCTATTGTTTTTGTAGACGACGTGAGCGCACCCGAAGTCAGTCAGTTTGACCATTTGTTGTCCATCGGCCGACTTTACAATCAGTATGTTCTTCAGCTTTAAGTCTTCGTGAGCCATACCTCTGGTGTGAAGGAAATACAATCCATTAAACATTTGGTAGAAGTACTGTCTGGCGGCCGACTTGTCAAAGCCATTGGCAGTTTGGTCTCTGTTGAGCCGTTTTTCCAGATCTTCTTCGGCCAATTCCATCACCAGATAGGAAACTGTGGGCACGTCTTCGAGGTTGTGGTTAACGTAATGATCGATCAATTGGATGATGTGTTTGTGTTGACTCCTGAAGAGAGTGAACACTTCATTCATGAACACATTCATCAACTGTTTCTTCTCCGACAGTTTCATGGCTTTCGCGGCAACCATTCGGCCGCTCTTCACGTCCCGCGCCCTCCAGACCACACCATAACCTTTGTGTCCGAGCTCTTGGCCTATTGTCTCATAGCCGACCCTCTGGAGCACCTGATGGTCAAAAGCCTACTTCCAATTGTCACGAACTTTGTGCCTCAATTATGTGAGAAATGGTGGCCTTTGATTGACTGGTGGACACCTGGAGGTCGTCTTTGTGCGACCATTTAGTGGTCTGTGTTTTGGATGTCTGTCTGTCTGACCGCTCGTGTCGTTGCCTTCTCTGTCGCTTATCCTTCTGTGTGCCGACACAACAACAGCAACACATCCGACAAATGGCTTTCAATAGTCGACACATATCTGGATCTGAAGATTGTCTTAACAATGGATTCACTGACTATTTGGACAAAGATTTACAACATTTCCTAAACAGTCCGTTGAGTAAAATGATTATAAAATAACGACTTTTTATGTAATTGTTATTTAAATCAATTTTGAATTTATAAATTTTGTAACTTTTAAATTTTTTTTATTGTTTCGCTAAATGTATGCAATGAAAATATTGGCAAAATGTGACGATTCTATTACATGTCAAAACTAACCATGATGTGCGATTAATGTTATATAATATTTTATTGAAATTAGTAAATATATGTTTAATTTATGGGTAGAATATGTTTCGTGGAGGTAGAGCGAAATGTAACCACTTTAATTGCCCATTCAAAATGGCTTTGATCTTGATTTTATAAATGTAACTTTTAAAATTTTAACATTTTTTATGGTTTCGCTATAATGTATATGTAATGAAAATACATTCTTTATCTGTGAGATTGAAATCCAAGTGTAAAAGAATGGCAAAAATGTGAGTAAAGTTACAAAAACTTTTGTTAAATTTTAGTTTTGCACACAATTTGTGACAATTGGACAAATCGGGAAAAATAGGTTTTTATATCGTATTGTCATTTAGTTTGTACTTGTGCTACATTTAATTGAATATATAAATGCGGCATTTAAAATGCTATTATTTACCTTTAAAAATAAATAATTTATATCACGTTAAATACTTTATTCATTTAAACATTTATACATTGAATACAGTGTTTAAAATATTGTTCAATAGATTTTTATATTATGTAATCATTAACAGAGAATTTTAAAATCAGACAAAATATAATAATAATGAATATTAATTACAATTTAACATTCATAGAATCCCGTTTATGTTAAAAATATTAATTAACTTAAAATTATTATTATCCATAATACTAAATTTTGTGACTCAATAAGTTTTTGTACACATATTTTACTTCTAAAACAATTCCATCAAAAGAAAATAATTAGCGCCAGAAATGTATAGGAATTGAGAGAATTCTGCTGTCGTTAAGGGAAACATATCATAACAATAGAAAGCAATCTTTGTTTCCGACGACAATCTCTCGATAAATGCCATCACTTTTAACCGATCGATCGGTGAGAGGACTGGTCTTTGGCTTAGATATGATAATAACAGTAGATATGGTTTATGGGCTGCTCTCGGAACCGATGAGACTAATCTAAATGACATCAAAATATAGCAAACATTTACTAATATTACATAAAACATTGCAAAACGAAATAAAAGTGTAGTATTTTTGTGATGTAAAGAAAATATATTCATTTCAATGCCAACGGATCCCATATAATAGCCAAAGAATAATACAATTCTTATGGTATGATTCAAATCCTTAACCCATCTCTCGTAATAATGGTGTTCATCGATGGCTCGTAATAACTGCCGGATATTATTATATTTAACACTTAATGCAATTGTTTTATAAATTTCTAGAAACTTGTGTTTCATATAAGACATGATAATAATAACGACATTAAATGCAACCCAAACGACACCAAAGGACTCAATAAGTGTAATGACAGCCAAAATGTAGACAAAAACGAGAAATATTGTCTTAATTATGATAAAATCATGAATAATTGTTGAGAGAGTTAAGACAAACATTAGCCCACAGCCAGTGATTATAACATATAAACACATTAAGGTTAAAATTCTTCGGCAAATGTTAGCATTTAAACTGATTCTTCTATCCATCCAAGCATTCAATGGATATTTGAGTCGTTTGTATAGCAATGAGTGCATGAATTTGAATACATGTAAAACACCGCTTCTCTCGTGATATACAGCACACGTCTCAATACAAATAGTGCTAAACATCATTAAAATAAATTGAGTGCCGATAAAAATTTTATCACCAAGGTAACTCATCATATCGCCCATCAATGTTTTAACAATCGGGTGATTCGCGTACATTAAAATAGAATATGAAATTAAGTAACTCATCATGCTCAATTTGACAATTATAAACCACATAAGTCTACGCCGAGTGTAATAACCGGTAATGAAATCATCTAAAGTTGTCGATAGAGTGACACAAAAGTATTTAATATTTTTGTCAAACTTTCTGATCTCTTCACTCAAATCACTGTTATTTTCCTTATAATTGTTGACTATATCTCTGGTTCTGGTTTTAACTGCAATTACTTTTCTTTTCAATCGATTCATTATTAAATAAATTTTTGATAAAAAATTAATTAATTACAAGTAACTCAAAATATTGTTATTACTTATACTTATTTTTATCGTCTACTAAACATGCTACTTTTTACTATATGGTTGACATATTTAAATGACAAAATATACACTAAATATATTTCTGATATAAATCATTATAAGTCACATAATAATATAATTAAATATTAGTACAAATGTATTTAATTTGATTTCACATATTTTTTATACTAATTATACATTATACATTTGTATTTATTTATAAAGTATTTCTTATATTGAATATTTCAATTCATTTTCTATCAATCATTGATTTATAATTAGTATCGATTGAAATCAAAGTACAGTTAAAATACAATTTATATGTAAAGTTAATATGGTTGACATATTTAAATTACATTATGTGCACTAAATATATTTATAATATAAATCATTATAAATAACACGATAATATAATTAAATATTAGTACAAATGTATTTAGTTTGATTTCAACATTGATTTTTATATTATCTCGATAATTACATTTGTATTTATATTTATGTAGTTAGCAATTTCTTATAAATATCTTTAATGCAATACATTTTCTATCAATTATTGATTTACAATTAGTATCGATTGAAAACAAAGTACATTTACTATTTTATTATCTTATACTGTTTGAGCGATATTTATGCCGAGTGTTAATGTTGTCGCCAATAAACTACTTCTACATTTCCCTATACATACCCATACAATAAAATAGTGGCGACAACATTAACGCTCGGCAACATTAACACTCTCACCGTATGTTTTCTATAGTCACAGACAGCATTAACTTATTTGTTATTAAGCTAAAATTCAATTATGAATGTATAGATTCAATTTTACCTATGACAAAAAAGTTAATGCTGTCTGTGACTATAGAAAACTATATAACAG